GGCGGCGCGGGGCAGCAGGGGGCGCCCACTGACCCTGGGCCTGGCCCTGTGGCGCCCTAGCGCTGCCCACACCGAGTTTAAATGCCTATGCATCTACTTTAAAAAACACACACAACTTAACCGGCTTGTTTTCCAATGATTAAGACAACAATGAGGGTATAGTTGAGGGTGGAGAGAGAGTGACCGATAAATGAATATTTGATACTTGTTACTTTTAGAAATCTGCTCCTCACCATGGTGGGCATGCCCATATACTCATGCAGTATATAACTTGTAACCCAAACCTAGGAGTCAGGACGCATTGCACATGTGATCTGAAAAATGGATTTCCATTGATTGATGAATAAACCAACCATTCTTTGTGTGGGGGGGATATATTGAAACCTCAGGAACTCTCTTAGTTATAGTAAAGAGCAATTGTTCAAAAACAACATTTGGCCATTGGTCTTCAACCTCTTCTAAATTTGAATACTATTTGGAGATATCGACTGGTCCCCTGAGAGATGTTGTGAAAGTGAGGAATGGTGATGTTTTTCCAGTGAGGACAGCAAAAGTGAGCTGTGCTCTCTGCTGCACCCAGCACGCTGCTCAGGGAAGGCTGCTGGGCGCCAGGCCCCTGTTCGCTGTCCTAACTATCCCCGTCACCACCACTAGCACCAGCTGTGGTCTCCAGGCCACCCTTCCTCCTGGAAGAAGCTGAGGTTTCCCAGAGCTGAGGCTGCGAACACTCTTGGCCATCTCCCTGAGCAAAGTCTCCAGCGAGGAGCCAGACCATACGCCTTAGAGATGTAGGAGGCCAACAGAACGGGAGATGGCTTGCCCTTTCTCTCTTCCACATCTGCCAGATCACTCCCCAAACTCATCATAAGTTTCATTCTAGACACATAATGTGGTTACTCTTTTCTTTGGGAATACTGTCTCAGAACGATGAAACAAAGGACTTAAAAACAAACGCCAGCTGCCCATGGAAATCACGTGGGTGGAGTGTCGGTGACAATTGCAGAGCTTTCTGCTGCTGCCTTTGGGAAGGCAAAGATCTGCGGTGGCAACTGTGTCCCAAGTAACACGCGATGGAGGAAGTCCACATGGCCACACAGTGCGATGGTTTTTATCATATTCACTAAAACAGACTAACAGACTCTTACAAATATTCTTTCCCTTTGGGTGTTGCAATGCAGCAGCTTTGTACGGGAGAGTCTATTGTTCCCTGTGTCACAGTAAGCAGAACCCTCCGGGGAGTAGGCCATTGAGACGTTCCGAAGTATTTTTCTCCTTATATAGGAAATTAGGCTCAGAGTCAGTCACATCTCATAGGTTTTACAGGACAGTTTCCCATTATGAGTTTCCTTACCTGTTTAAGTTTCATTGCAGAAAAGGTACTACACATCTGGGAAGTATTTATCCACTTGACAATTTTCTAAATGTGCTTGGTTCCTGTCAGTTATACCATGTCTACTTCTGGGAAGGAGCGAGCAACCGAACAATAGAGCCCCATTATATGAACACAAAACTGGGAATAAATAGAAAGCAGGCGGAAGAAAGATAGTTATAACAAGAATGTAAGCTAATGGCTTTCTTTGAGCAGAAGGCTTGGCGCCCAGCTTTCTTGACAAAAAGGAAGCATAATAGACATTGGTGAAATGTAAATGCTTTTTTTTCTTCTTTTGCTGCATTCTAAAATGGGGCTACCTCAATAAGAAACATCATTTCTCCCACTTAGCAAATTGAATGTCATTGATTAGGTCAGGATTTTAACAACTTTTGTGCATGTTGATGGATTTCAGTGGTGACTTAGTCAAAAGTAATCTGTTTTGGCCAGCCGGTATGGCTCAGTGGTTGATCGTTGACCCATGAACCAAGAGGTCCCAGCTGATTCCCTCTTGGACACATGCCCAGGTTTCAGCTCAATTCCCAGCAGAGGGTGCACAGGAGGCAGCCAATGGATGTTTCTCTCTCATTGATGCTTCTATCTGTCTATCCACTCCCTTCCTCTCTCTCTAAAATCCATGAAAACATATTTTTTAAAGTAATCTGTTTTAAACCAATAAATAAGGAGAGAGACCATGAAGAACATTTCTTTGCAAGAACTCATAAGCATCCTGGCACCACAAAACATAAAGTTCAGAGTGAAGGAGATGCAGGAATTCACGATGAGGTTCTTATATTTCATTGAATTGGCCGCCTTTGACATCAAACCCTGGCCGGACATTACCTTTTAAATGTTCTTTTTATTCCTAGTGCTACCAGTGGTTGAAGGAAAGAATTGTGAGTGAAGAAGGGAGAAAACAGCAGAACAAGTTAAAAGACCTCTCTCCGATTGCTGAGCGGCTGGGCTGCACGCTCCCTCAGCTCGCTGTCGGTAAGACAATTACTGGGAGGGGGCCCTGCCAGAGCCCAGAAAATATCGTTTTCTCTGCTTGATCCACATCCCTATCGTGATAAAATATCTATTGTAGGGCAGACCGATGCCAGGAGCATAAATTCCTGGTTAGCACTATCTAAAATGAGGCTTTCAGAGTACCCCAGAATTTTCGACGTGCTAAAAAACTGTTCTTCCTTCCTTTTCCTCTCCCTTATAACCCGTTCAAATGAGAAGAGGTGAGTGAGAACGTATACATCCCCAGTGTCGGGGGTGAGAGCCCTCTGAGCTGTGCAGGGACACCCGTTTCTTCTGGCTCACTTTGCAATCCCTGCCAAAGCTGAGGCAAGGAGGGTGAGAGGCTGGGAAAGGGCTGCCACAGAGCCCAAGGCCACTGCCACAGGGAAGGCCCAGCCTAGGGCAGCAGCTTCCCCCTGAACCTTCTGAGGGTCCAAGAAAACTGCTCTTCTAAACTGTGAGTGGGTGAAAGGTCATGGTCACTGGTGACAACTGAAAACCACACCCACCAGCCATGTCCAATAGAATTTCAATGTGAACAGAGGCTGGGAAAGGGCTGCCACAGAGCCCAAGGCCACTGCCACAGGGAAGGCCCAGCCTAGGGCAGCAGCTTCCCCCTGAACCTTCTGAGGGTCCAAGAAAACTGCTCTTCTAAACTGTGAGTGGGTGAAAGGTCATGGTCACTGGTGACAACGGAAAACCACACCCACCAGCCATGTCCAGTAGAATTTCAGTGTGAACCACACACTTAAATTTTCTTTTTTTTTTAAAAAAAATATATTTTATTGATTCTTTACAGAGAGGAAGGGAGAGAGATAGAGAGCTAGAAACATCGATGATAGAGAAACATCGATCAGCTGCCTCCTGCACATCCCCCACTGGGGAAGCGCCCGCAACCCAGGTACATGCCCTTGACCAGAATCGAACCCGGGACCTTTCAGTCCGCAGGCCGACGCTCTATCCACTGAGCCAAACCGGTTTCAGCGACACACACTTAAATTTTCAATGTTCTAGTGGCCACGTTCAAAAAGGAAAATGGAAACAAGCAAATTAATTATACTAAAATATTTTCTTTAACCCAATATAGACAACATATGACCATGTCAACATGTAATAAATATAAAAGTTATCGAGATCTTTTACACATTTTTCATACTAAGTCTTCAAAAATCCAAAATGTATTTTATACTTACAGGACATCCCAACTCAGGCTAACCACATCTCATGTGTTCCACAGGCCCGTGTGGCTGGGTGTTGGACAGAAAGGCATTTAGACTTCCAGCTCCCTTGCTGGGGATATTTGCCAGGCTCTGTGATAAGCACTTGCTGCCACTATCTTGTCCCCTTAATGGTTGAAACAATCCTATGAAGTACATGCTATTACAAGCCCTATCTCGCAGGCATTAATGGAGTATTTGCTATTATCTGCACTTTACAAATGAAGAAACTGAAGATAAAAGAATTCATGTGGTGGCTGTTATTACCAAATTCAAAGAGTTCACCACTTGTGTGCCCTCTTCAAGAATGAGACATGGTTGTCACAAGATAGTTTTATTTACTTGCAGCCAGTAAAGGAGACAGGATTCGTATCCAAAGCTCTGTCTCCCGGAAGGGAGGCTTAGCCATTGCTTATACACACCATTTGGTCAATCATGTTGATTGCAGTTGGCTATACTTACTGGGTTGGGGTCCTGTCAAACTCATCCCGTTTACAACTGGTCTGCAAGAATAACATTTAGTGAGAATGGCCCAGACCTTTGAGACCCATGTCCTATCTAACACTGTGGGAAAAGGATAAAATAGGTGTATAATCTAGAAAAAAATCCAAAGGAATAAGAAATAGCAGGAATTGGGACAAATCAGATACAATGACCTAATGAGATAAAAAGCTCCAAGATAAATTCTAGGCAAATAAAATAATGTGATAGAATGTTTGTTAGAAGGTTGACCCTTCTGAGGTTGGAAGGCAGGAAAATGGCAGTTGCAGTTAACAGTCATAGAAAGATGAAAATGGAAGGTGGTCTGGCTGGGGGGAGGGGGAAAGGAATACCATTTACCTAAGTGTATGTAAGACTCTTGCTTTAATCTTTTCAAACGACAAAAACAAAACAAAAATATATTTCATGGGATTAGTTAGCACCCCGGCAGCTTTAATGGACATAGTAAAAAGTATTAGCTAATTGATCATCAGCAAGTTATTTAACCTAGCAATTTTCTCATCTGTAAAATGGGTATAATTTACATATCTTACAAACTACTTGAGTAAAGGATAATTACATATGCAAAGCAAAAAGCAAGTGCTCTTTGTAGAAGTAGTAATGATGATGATAATTTTTTTTTTTTTTGCAAAGAATTAGACACCCTGGACCTGAAACTGTCTACCCTCAGCCATGGCATATGGGCAGAGGAACAGGCACAAAGAGAAACAGCCATTTTTGAAACAATCATAAGTATGGTTTTTAGGTAGTAATAACCTGAAAATGAGTATTAAATTTAGCTCTGAAAGAGATGGAACATTGTCTTTTTAAAGAGATCTTGATAAGACTTAGACTTTCACTGGATGTTAGATGCACACCAAAATCCTCTAGAGCGTCTCTGTGCCCCCTGATATCTATCTTGCCTGTCCTTTTTTTCCCATTCTTTATAAGCAGTAGTTTTGTTTTTAACCACAGAACTCTCAAACCAAGAGAGGAATTATTTCCAGGCATATTACCTTTCATCTGCTAGAAGGGTGTAGGGAGGGGAAATCCTCGAGCAGGAAACAAACTACTTGAACCCAACCGTGGGCACTGCCATGTCATTTGCCTGCACAAGAGCTGCACTCACACCTTGCCAGTAAAGAGGCAGGAGGGTTGCCTGGTCGGGGACATTTGCTTAGATGCTAATCATTAGAATCATCTGCATGTGTTACCTCCGCAGCTAGGCAGTTCTGCCCAGTGGGCTCTCCTGCACCCTGCTCCTCAGAGTGGAGAGTTGGCTGTTGCTGACACCAAGTAGTTTATGTGCAATGATTTTTCCCTGGGCCCTGCTTTGCCCTCAGACCTTCCAAAAAGAGTTATAAGTGCAAAGCAGGAAATAATACTGCCAAAAAAAAAAAAGAGCCCTGAATCACTTGGCTTGTTGTCTTTATAGAACATTATTTGTCCATGTGGTGAGATTTAGCGATTGCCTTAAAAGGCCTGAGCATGGCAACAGCTTAAGAGTATTAGTTGACAGCAGGCCTTGAGCAAAAGGGGCAGAAGAGGTGCTTGGACCTTCTTCCATCCATCAATCATTCATGTCTGTTTATTCAACAAATTTACGAAGCACCTACTATGTGAAGGTCCTGGGCTGAATGCTGAGCATCCAACTATAAATAAAACACATTTCACAGCCTGATGGGCAAGTCAGAAAACAAACAGCTCACTGTAATACAGTGTTGTAAAATAACTGGGAAGGGCCCAGGGGTTTAAGTAACGTAGAGGCTCCCAACCCAACCTTGGACTCAGGGAAGGACTCTGAGAGAAGGTAGTTCCCGTGGGGAATCTCAAGTGATGAGTAGATATTTGTGAGGCAAAGGAAGGGAGGAGTCAAAGGGACATTCCAGGCCAAGGAGCAGTTGGAGACAAGGGGATGGAGAGGATTTACAAACAGCTCTGTGCTCCTGAAGCACAAAGTTCAAGGCAGGGAATGAGGGGACATGAGCTGGAGAGCTGGATTAGAGAGCAAGGTTTGCCAGGTGAGAAATGAGAACTCATCGTGTAGGACAAGGATCACGTCAGGCACATGTAGAAGAATGTTTAGCCAGGCAAGTGACATGGTCAGATCTGTATCCGGAGAAACTGTGCCAGATTGAGTGGGGGAAGGGATGGGAATGGGGTTGAGGGAGGTAGGAGACAGGGGGCAATCCAAGCAAGAGGAGCAGAAGGCCCTTGCAGAAGACAGTGAGGGCCTGAGGACAGAAGACAGCTGGACCAGAGCAGCGATTCTCCGCTGTGGTCCCTGCAGCCACACAATGCGAAGCTGTTCAGCAAGAAAAAGAAAGGATACACTGTGCGCATGCTGTGACACAGATGACCCTCCCAAACCTGCTCAGCGAGAGAGTCAGACACAAGCCCATATTGCATAATTCTGTTTAGATGAAATGTCCAGAAACAATAACTCTGTAGGGTGCAAAGTAGATTAGTGGTTTCCTAGGGTTGGCCGTACAAATGGGATTAATTTGGTAAATGGGCATGCAGGAGCTTAGTGGGGTCATGGAAATGTTCTAAAACTGGACCTAAAATGGTGATGGTTGCACACTTGTTCCATTTACTAAAAATTGTTTAATTGTGCACAAAATCGGTAAAATTTTTGGAGTGTAGAAATCACCCCAATAAAGTTTAAAATAAAGATAGCCCTAACCGGTTTGGCTCAGTGGATAGAGTGTCGGCCTGCAGACTGAAGATAACATGGTCCCTGGATCAATAGCATCAGCATTGCGTGGGAGCTTGTCAGAAATGCAGATTCTCGAAAAGAGAAAGAAAAAGAAAAATGCAGATTCTCACGCCACCCAGACCTTCTGAGTTAGAAACACCCAATAATTGATGTTTCAAAAGCCCTAGGTGGTTCTGCTGCATGCTGAACTTTGAGAACCATTGGATTAGAGAAATATTTAAATAGCAACTAGACTTGGCAATTAAAGGGGAATGTGAGATCAGAAAAGGATAGTCCCTCAGTATAAATCCCAGGTTCCTAGATTGGGAGCTACGTTGCTGATGATGCCACCCAGTGAAATTAGGAACACAGGAGAGACGACTTGGCAAGTAGCAAGCAGTTTGCAGTGCCTATGGGACACCTAGCAGGGACATCCAGCAGACACTGCATCTGTGGGCCTATACTAGTGGTCGGCAAACTGCGGCTCGTGACCCACATGCGGCTCTTTGGCCCCTTGAGTGTGGCTCTTCCACAAAATACCACGTGTGGCGCGCACGTACAGTGCGATTGAAACTTCGTGGCCCATGCGCAGAAGTCGGTATTTTGTGGAAGGGCTACACTCAAGGGGCCAGAGAGCCACATGTGGCTCGTGAGCTGCAGTTTGCCGGCCACTGGCCTATACAATCATCTAGTTCCAGGGAGCTACAAATTCAGAAGTCTACTTTAACCACACGGAGGCCCCTGGGGATCTTGGCTTCTGACATGGCAAGAAGGAGACCAGAGACAAGGAAGGGGGATCAGGGATTTTAAAATGCCCTTTCAGCATATATATATTAAATATTGTCTTTCAGAAATTTAAGGGGAGAAGAATGGGGCAGGTAGGAGGGGTTGGAGGAAGCTTATTTTAGAATGGGAAAATTTGAGCACATTTTGCTGAGAAAAAATGATAGTATCAAATAAGAAATTCAGGA